AATAAAAACTGTTGTCAGCAAAATAGTTGGGAGGGGGTCACATTAGTGCCCCAATTTAATTATTGGGAACACGTGCCCCTCGGTTCAGACGTCCATTTCAATATATGTTTCATACAAACAATATGAACGATAGCTATGCTCTAATATCACTGAATATCCTCGTACACTCAACATGAACTATTGGTATACATCTTCAGCAACATAGTTTCTCGTTCAAATATAAACACTAGCTGCACAGTAACTCTAAAATGTCCCATTCAGATAATGCAGGCAAAAGTTATACTTCTGTAAATTATGCTTTCTTATACACAACGTAAATACATGTTACTCATTAGTACCCGGTTTTGCTGGGATAGTCTCGTTTTTTAGTAGTTTGTTCCAATGTCTCGAGAAAAGTTATCGGGATGTACACAACTTTCCGGTTTTATGATAAAGACATCAAACTGCCAGTCACATGAAATTTCGAATGTAATAGGCGTACTCGAATATTTCGTCTGTGCTTGATGAGAAACTCTGATCTGCGCAGATTTGAATGTGGAGACAGTTAAGATATTGCTCATGGTCGAAACACACTTTACTCAATCATGTACTGAATTGTATGATTGTTTAATTTAATGAAAAAACAACAACAGAACTTCTACGTTCCATTCATTCTCACAAATATGTCTTAAAAAGTTTCAGGGTAATACTAAAACCTAATAGCATGTTTAAAAATGTTATGGATTCTTAAATAAATCCTGGTATGAAGTAGCCCATTTTAAGATTAACAGGATAAAGTAAATAAAGATTTCTTGGGTGTATAATTTGACTATTTTTGCTCATTTGTTTTGTGTCTATCACGAAAAAAGGAATTGTCATTATTTCAGAAAAAAATGCAAATATTAATATATTTGGAAATATTGTGAAACAGTTCAATACATTTAAAGTAAATTAAATTGAAAATAAGTTACTTCAAATTTGTAATAACCATTTTGAAATTGGGGGCAAGGGCTGGGCTGTCCCGGCTTTTCTGTTTGGAAATATAGTCACTCTATTCAAACAACATAATCAATAGTTGAATTTCAATAACATGACATAAACATTAGTTTTATTTCAATATCAACATTCTCCCATGTCTTAACAACATAAAGTTGAATCTCGATAACAATATGATTTTGGAGCCTCGTTACATCTTTACAGCCCATGACGCTACATCCGATCATGATCAGTCTAACAGCCATGCATTTTTACAATAGCCCTGCAGCTTAGTTTCCATTGCAAAAGGCTCACTCATTCAACTATCAGAGTTTATATACAATATGTAATTAAGCACAAAGCTACACAATGGGCTGTCTGTGCTCTGCCCACCACGGGTATCGAAACCCGGATTCTAGCGTTGTAAGTCCGCAGACATACCGCTGTGCCACTTGGGGCCTGTCTAGTTGACCGTTCACAATCGTATTTTGTCATTCCATGTGTTATTGCAATAACTGAAATTACATTGTGTTTGTTTTTATGCAAAAGAGGCTGAATACAATGCACTGTTGACAAAAATCTTTGGTTTTTGATGCAATGGGTGCATCCAACACACTAGAGTGCTCAGGTTTGCTAAATAGTCACTTGAATATTTTTCCGCTGGATGTCACTATTTCTTGTCATTTTACTAAGTAAAAGAAAACACTCTTACGGAAGTGAGCGCTTCTTGACAGTTATCATTTCTATAAGAAGTGTCAAAGGGGAGACTTTCAATTCAAATCAACTTATTCGACTTGTACAATAAAATCATGCGTGTATATAATACCGACATGAAAAATAAATACATATATATATATATAAACCGAATAATAAAAAATAGATACTCAAACACGTTTTTCTCTTTATGTATTTTTGACGTTCATGCTTCCCTCTTCGAAATATTTCTTTCAGTCAGTTGACAAAGGAAGTCCCATTTTTCATGAAATTCCCTCACAAAAAGAAGTGTTTCTGTTCTTAATAATAAGTTTTTTTCTCACATTGACGGTTCATCACATACGAAGACTGATGGATCGATGTTGATACCGATACGAAATTTTAGGAATTGTGAACAAAAAGGAATACTTTTTTACTCTGGAAAAGAAACATTTTGATACATATATGTAAATATATTTTTTTACGATTAACCGTTGAGGAGATACAGATCATGACAGACAAACATTTGGCTATTATATATATATTTATAAGTTATTTTTGTCTAACGCTCTTATCATTTATCAACTTATAATATCACAATACTCAGAGTAGGCACTAAATATTGTTAGTGTAATATCTTACGAATATTCTATTTTGAAATATTATTGTAATTGTCGCATGGTTGAAATGACGTTAGAGTGTAATACAAAATATAAAGATAAATACAAAGAGAGCTTCGGTTGATTTATATACATATGTACACCAGAGGCAACCGTCAGCCCCCATAGTTTTCCTTAACACTCATACCCCGTCCCAAAGTCTCGCCACGCGATGCTTGAGAAGTGATCTTGTATATGAGTCTGTGTTAAGCAGGCAGCTTCGTTAATTGTGAGAAACAGGGTGGATAGGAAGAATACACCACCATTCAAGATAAATATGTTGTGTTTACCAATAAAGAAATTTGATGTTGAGTTCGTAGAATAAGGTGAAAACCCGTGCCTATGTGGGTATTTTACTCTGAACTTAGAAGGCGCAGACAAGCTATCTTCAAAATATAAAATATGTGATGAGCGAATGAAGATTCCTACGGAACACCAACGTAAAGAAATAGTTCATACATTATTCGCGTAACCACTAAATTACGTTCATAAAATCGCGTTTGTTCATCCTTGCACGTAGTCTATTGTATATCTGTTCATATATAATACATACTAACTACGTTTTTGGTCATGGAAGTATAGACGGCAGAACATATTTGAATTTGGGGGGCACCTTATTTACTATGTTATCCATGAATACTGAATTCAAAACCGAAACATCGATTTTTCCGTGATTGCTATACACTTGTCTCTATTCCCCATTTACAGAATTGGGAATGTGGGTACTTATTCTTAATGTACTCCCCCCAAGGATAGAAAATTTGCTATTTTAAAGTGAAAAAAAAATTATTCTTGACCCATTTTATTTGTTTCAAGGTCATTATAAATGTTTTCAGTTTTGTTTCTTAGGTGAATTTCATGGCTTGTGACTTTAGCATGTTTAGAGCCTTACGGTCTTTGAAATTGGCGCGCGTCAATTCCCGCCCGAGTTAAGAAGCCAAACTGGGGCATAAATGGAAGACGATGGCAAAAACAGAGCAAATCTAATTATAGCACCTAATTCCGAAATAAACCATTCATAGTCGGGAGGCAAGGAGCTTCTCACTGTAACGTTACACCTAGCTCTAGTTCTCAGCAACCAGCTTTCATATTTGGCTGTAGACAGAAATAGCATCAACCTCCCCCAAGCCCACTGTGTCTCGCCTCAGAACCCCTGTGTCCGTATATGGACGAAGTACTAGGGCGCCGCCACACTCTTTTCCTTTCATAGCATGGAAACGGCGCTTGGGTGCGTGGCGGAAAACAGTCATGAAATCATCCTTAGGAGCAAATGTGACGTCATGAAAAAGCCCCGGTTACCGCATGCTACAAAATGAGTTGATCTGCGACGTTCTTGTTACTCCTGAAACAAACTCAGTTCGTGAGGCTGCAGTTTCTAGTGTGGTTTTGGTTGGAAGGGAACGAGTTTCTAGCCGGTAGGCTAACTGTAGTAGTTTTGGTGCAATGTGCCTGGATTCGATCCTCTACAAATTTTATCATTTTAAAATAGTTTGTTTAAGCTATTATAAACTCTGAGTTTTTCACTAGTTATTGCTTTCCATTTTTATGGATGATCATTTGTGAATATTACTTCTATATAAGGAGTTGTTGTGTTATCCTTACCTTAGCGATTGAAATTTTTGTGTATCGACATAAGGCTCAGATCCAGGCACGCTGCTCCTAAGAATAGACGTATTTGTGTTTTATGCCTTGAAGTCAGTTTTATAAATAATATACTGTTTAATATATTAGTATCTGAAGGTTCTTACATAGAAGAGGTACATTAATTTTGTATTACATTATAATAGAATGTGTCTTGTTTTACGAAGTAAGTCAATTAGTATATTTTAGATTGACCTCAAATGAAGTTGTAAAGTAATTGAATAATTAACTTATAGTTTGGGAAATAAGATAAGGTATTAACAGGTGTGGCGAGAAAGAAAGATCGTTAATGTTTCGCTAACTATCGTACTTTTGCTACAACTAAGGGTTTCTAGATCCATAGTTAGCTTATAAATAAGCTTCAGCAACATAATAAATGCAATATTATTAAGTATGGAACTAATTTTCCAAGTTGCCAGCGTAAACTTAGATGTCGTTCTAATTCAAATAACTGAATGCATGAAATAGTAATATTACATTAGAGAGAGCATAAAAATAAATAGAAATTAAATACAAATAAAATAATATGGATATCAAATTAGAGGGTTAAGTAACTGTTAGTTAATTTATTAACCGAACTTTTAATGCAGTTGAGAATGGACTTCAATATTAAGATTGAAGTTGAAAAAGGAAAATGTTTCTAGATTTGTAATGCTCAGTCGTGGCCCAATTGGAGAAAGTAGAACTAGAACTGTTCCACTGGAATCTCTCCCACGAGCACAGTGCACGTGGTGCGTGCCTGTCTACAGAAATATGGTATGGACATGCCCATAAATGTCCATGTAAAGAGGAAGTCTATGATGTTTCTAAGTCTGGGAGCGAATGATGGGCAAGGTTATACATGGAGGGTTACAATTCCCCTGAAGAAGGTTTTTCTTGTATAACCTTACTGACAAGAAGCGAACTTTAATATGCTTTACATATTACTTTGTTTACAAAAATCAACTTCAAACTCAAACAACAATTTTGAAATTAAATGTTTGATTTAATTTTTGAAAATGCAGCAAAGATCTGATTTTTTCTCCCTGTTTTGTACAGTAACTAAGATTCATCATGTGTGACGACGAGGTTGCCGCTCTTGTAGTTGACAATGGTTCCGGAATGTGCAAGGCCGGATTTTGCCGGTGATGATGCCCCTCGTGCCGTGTTCCCTTCCATCGTAGGTCGTCCTCGTCATCAGGTACTTCTTTATATTTAACACGAGTTTGTTTGTTTTCCTTACACTAAAATATAGGCCTCCCCGGTGGCTCAGCGGTAAGCTTGAGGGCTTATATTGCCATACTCCGGGGTTTGGTCTCTGCGGAAGGCACAGTGCAGATAGCACTTAAAAACAAACACTAAAGTTTAAAATGTTAGTCTTGATGCTTATTTATTAACGTATTAAATAACAGTTTACTTTAAAATAGCATCTAAAAATATGCTTATTCAAAATAATCAGTGAAAGAAACTAGCCTTCCGAGCAAAAAGTGTCTAACTGGTTAAAGATATTTATATTAAAATTCTTCGTATCTTTTGTTTCAGCAATTTAGTGACATATAGGTCAAAACTAATTCAAAAACAAGTTATTGCTGTGTTAAGAACGTAGATAACAGGTCATACTTTATGCTTATTCGAAAATAAATCCTTATTCCAGGGTGTGATGGTCGGTATGGGTCAGAAGGACAGCTACGTGGGTGATGAGGCCCAAAGCAAACGTGGTATCCTGACTCTGAAATACCCCATCGAACACGGTATTGTCACAAACTGGGACGACATGGAAAAGATCTGGCACCATACTTTTTACAATGAGCTTCGTGTGGCCCCTGAGGAGCACCCTGTTCTTTTAACAGAAGCACCCCTTAACCCCAAGGCCAACAGAGAAAAAATGACCCAAGTACGTCATTTCATGTATTATAATGAATTTTTATATAAATATATCATTATATTTATTTATATAATTTCTCAAATGATAACAAAGTCATAAACAGTGACAAGATATTTTGATAATAAAAAAGCCTTGATAAAAGAAAAATCAATACTAAATTAAACCATGTTCTCTCATTGACCAGATCATGTTTGAAACCTTCAACACGCCCGCTATGTACGTAGCTATTCAAGCTGTGTTGTCCCTCTACGCTTCCGGTCGTACTACCGGTATTGTGCTGGACAGCGGAGACGGTGTTTCCCACACTGTTCCCATCTATGAAGGTTATGCCCTTCCTCATGCCATCCTCCGATTGGACTTGGCTGGCCGTGACCTCACTGATTATTTGATGAAGATCTTGACAGAGCGTGGCTACAGCTTCACCACCACGGGTACGTCTAGTCTGTAGTTACGAAAACCTCTAAATTTATTACTTCAAAAATCACTACCTTATATTGTTCATGGTTATTGAAAATGTATTCAAATAAAATCAAACACTAAATTTTCCAGTGACCAGCATACTAGTTCTATTGAGAATTTGAATACTAAATGCTTGTAATTTGTATGGTTATTATTTTTTTTTGTTCGTTGTCTGTTTTGTGTGTCCAAGTTTCTTTCATTTTTTACATGTTTTTTTTTGTATGTTGATAGCTGAGCGAGAAATCGTTCGTGACATCAAGGAGAAGCTCTGCTATGTCGCTTTGGACTTCGACCAGGAAATGGCCACTGCTGCTTCTTCCTCGTCCCTCGAGAAGTCCTATGAGTTACCTGATGGCCAGGTAATCACCATTGGTAATGAGAGATTCCGTTGCCCTGAGGCCCTTTTCCAGCCATCTTTCTTGGGTATGGAATCTTCTGGTATCCATGAGACCACCTACAACTCAATCATGAAGTGCGACATTGACATCCGTAAGGACCTGTACGCCAACACCGTTCTGTCTGGTGGCACCACCATGTACCCAGGTATCGCTGATAGGATGCAGAAAGAAATCACCGCTCTTGCTCCTAGCACAATGAAGATCAAGATCATTGCTCCCCCTGAGAGGAAGTACTCTGTTTGGATCGGTGGATCTATCTTGGCTTCTCTGTCCACCTTCCAACAGATGTGGATCTCCAAACAAGAGTACGATGAATCTGGCCCTAGCATTGTCCACCGCAAATGCTTCTAAACTTTGTGTATTTTGTAGTCACGTGATTGTCGCTTCTTTCGTATTTATGTTGATTCCCCTTTGCTTCCGCGTGGATACTTCCCTCCGAATGACCCAGACTGGTTTAGAAACCCTGGATCAGGGATTTTGCCAGCCAATCAGAGACTCGGGAACTGTAGGCCAAAGAATCTCAACTTTTCATAACTGCCCACTGATCATGTAGCTCAGCAATCGTATTTATTAACATCAGAAGTTCGATCATTTCAAATATTTCATATTTTTCTGTAAAATAAAATATTTAATAAAAATTTGGGGAAGACATTTGTGTGATTGCACTTGGTTCAATATTTTCAGGTTTTCTTTGTGCTCATGTTTTTCAATCTGTTAGTTCAAGAGGTCTTGCTTTGCGTCACTTGCGGTATTTAATACATTATCCTATACACATTGTATAAACTCTGCATCATAAATATTTGTTTTAACATTATAAATAAGAATGAACAACGTTGAAACAAAACTGTTTAAAATATCTTACATCATGATTTGGGAATATATATTTTTTACACTTCGTATTAAATGTTTTTACAATAAGATTTACAACATTGCTTATAACCAAAATGCAGAGTGGACACTTGCCAATATACAATCCCGCGGTATGAAGTGGCCCACAGTAGTTATTTTTCTTGTTTTAATAGCCTTCTCGACAATATTCTAAGTCGGAACCTTATATTTTGTAAAGATTGCTTTGTTAGTCAAAATGTAAAACCAAAAAATAATAATAAATTTTATTCATATGATTAACGTTTCGCTCGGAATATTCTGTAAGAACAAAACAAACAAACGAGATTAAAACACTGTCAAAATAGTTTATCCTTAATAATAAATTATACTTCTTTAATAGCTACCAATGATTATCACGCGCGGTTAATAATAACTACAGATAATAATATGTTTAGACATTTTACTACAACTAACTATACTGCTCTAAAGCAGTTAGAAACGAAGTGAACCCACTGAATATATTGCGATTGGTGCTAATTGTCCCCCAATGACCCAGCGCTAAGTCTGAGGGCTAACACTGCTAAAAACCGGATTTAGATACTCGTGGCGGGCATAGCACAGATAGCTCATTGTGTAGCTTTGTGCTTAAAAAACAAACAAATTGTACAAGTAATGCTTTTAAAATTAAAGTTGCATAACGACAAAGTAAAAACTTTGAAAAATAAAGTAATTGTTAAAGAAATTCTTAAAGTCATCAGACGGAATAATGCGAATTCAAGGCACACCGAGATATAGATTTTTAATTTGTAAATTTCACTGTCCTGACTGGTACATTTGGGAAATACTGAATTAAAATCATTGATTCGAATATCGCTATTTTTATGTGAGAGGTTAATAAATATGGCTGATAAAATATACAATAAAAATGTTTAGAACAAAGTTTAAGAAGTTACAACAATCACAATAGTTAAGTTTGTAACTTCTCGTTTGTAAACTGTATTGTAAGGTTAAGCTAAGATTTTTGCCATCCTGTATTCCAGTTATAATACCTCTTCCACCTTCCATTAGAAGACAGTGAGAAAGAAATGTCACGTAACAACTTCCTGGAATATCAGTAATGATTAGAATAAATGCAAAATATAAACTGTTAAATGACAAAATACCTTTTAAAACATGAGATAATTTCACAACTGGAATAACATGTATTTATAATAAACGTCCACATATTATTGGTAAAACCAAAACCATGTTTAATGACGTTGGAATAACAATTATTAAGCATCTTCATTTTATTTAAAGAATTTTCAGTATTCCCAATCTAAGTTAATGCAGAATGTATAACAAGCCCCAAACAAGTTTACAGCCTAAAGTTATATATCAAAAAATATTCCAAATATTTAAAAATTGATGTTTTAAAGTTCCTCGACATTTATTTGTTAAGTATTCTTCAACATGTGATACTGGTTCAAAAACATTTTGGCTTTCTATACAGTTAACTTCGTTTTTATTGGGGATTTCATGCAATATTTACGTTTCTGTGATGTATTCTCAGGTGTACGGATTTCCCTTAACAGTATTCGAGAAGTTTCCTCAGAATAACAGGAGGTTTGGCTGAAAATGTATAGTGTAGTAAACCTGAATCCTCTGACTTTGACCGAGTTGTGAAAGAAATACTGAATACAGTGAGTGAGAACATAAACAAACAATCAAGACAAGAATAGTGTATTTATGGAGCCTTTAATGGGGGTTTGAGAGCTCTCGGTGAAAAAGTTGAAGTATTAGTGTCCCATAATGAGAATACGTAGAATCATAAACATGAAACATTAATGCCATTCTTCTTAGGGCACGTGCAATACCCACGCCACTGTTGGTCATTACCATAGAAAAATATGGGAGGTTGTAACCTCTATGTTTTACTGACCTACAAGTGGGAAAAACCTATGTACATTTTTACATAGTATGTTCAACCTTAAAGAAATCTTCTCTGCAAGAAACTGTACGTGAAACCACAGGTGAATGATCCAGAAAAATAATCAACTTGGGCATAAGGAATTTAGGTACTTCCTTGTTCAATGTTCATTAGTTAAATTAAACATACCTTTATATATATACACCTGGAAAAAAAGTTAAGCACCCCCA